TAATTATAATAAGTCTTAAAATATTCAAAAACCTCAGACTTGTCTCTTAATAAGTAAACTGCGGTGAAGTGGGTAAAATCGTCTACGAAAGTAACAAAGTGTTTATACCCGTCCCACGTGGAAGGGCTAACAGAACAAACATCGGTATGTACTAGTTCTAAGGGTTTCCTAGCCTTATACATTTTCCCATTAAAAGGAAGGCGTGTAATCTTAGCAAGTATGCATAGTTCACAATGCCTATTTTCTAAATTTTTTTCTTTCAAATCAGTTAAACCATCAACCATATTTTTATTTACTAAAGTTTTCAAACTACTATAGCTTAAGTGAGAAAATCGTTTGTGCCAAATTTCTACTGAATTATCATTGGTGTCTGATTTTGCACCATAATAACAATCATTAAATATTACTTTAAATTCTACAAAATAATGGATCTAGTCTATGCCCAACCATAAGCAATTCATTGGTTTGTGAGAAAACTTTAACTTCCCCTTTATTGAAGATGATCTTTAAACCATACTTCTCCATTTTGGAAACAGAAATTTTTTTTTTAATTGTGGTACATAATACACATCATTTAATATAATATCAACTTTAAAATCACTTAAATAACATTTTATTGTTCCTACACCAACAGCCTCTAAATCAACGCCATTTTAAGCAGCTGAAATTTTAATTGGCTTATCCAGTTTACAATAATTAAAGAATAAACTAATGTCATTTACAAGATGAAATGAACTACCTGAGTCAACAACCCATTTAAAACTATTTTTATTCTGCTGTTCGGTGTCAGGGCTAAAGGACATAAAACTTACAAATTTGTTACCTTGAGTATTTTCAGTGCCTGTAAGAAATGACTTTCCTCTACCTCTCCCCTGGGTCTGATGACGAGTTGCCTTACTGTCGTCTCGGCTTCCGTTGTACATCCAGTCGCTACGTCCACGGCCGTGAAGTCTCCAGTCGCCAGTCCTGTGTCGTGCCTGCTGAGTGCTCCTACACTGGGATTTTTTGTGTCCAGGGCGTCCACATCCATAACACAAGAAGATTGAAGAGTGAAGGGATTTGGTCGCTCCTCTGTTCGGTTTTTCCTCTTCCCCAAGCAGTCTGTTTTTCACGAAGTCCATTTTCAATTCCTCCACAGTTTCCAAAGCCGTGATAATGCCTTCATAAGATTTTCGGCATGGATAAGAGTAAATAGTTAACCTTTTCTTCCTCCGAGAACTCACTGCCAGCATCCCCGAGTTGTGCAAATAGCTTTTTCATGTCAATAAAATGTTCCATTAAAGGTTTCCGTTCGTCGAATTTCATATCGGACAACTCTCTTCTTATAAATAATTTAGATCGTGTACCTTTCTTTTTAAAGCTGTCTTCCATGCTTTTAATCATTTGATAAGCAGATCTGTCCTTTAAGTATTCGAGGTGACTGTCGGCGGTTGCCGCTATTATGAAAGCCTGGGCCTTAGCTTCCAATTGCAATTGCTTATTATCCGTAGATTTATTGAAATCCTCCTTTTCGATCGCCTCTATTGCTCCATTATCCCGCAGGACACTTTTTAATCGAAACTCCCATGCGTTGTAATTGTCCCCCGCGAAAGGGACAATTTGATATTTTTCTTTTGACATTTTCTGTCCTTCAACACTTATTAATCCACTATAAAACTGATGACCGTACTGGGCCCATAACCCTGTTAACGATTATGGGGATAATTAAAGATATAATACTTTGAACATAAAACGTGCTTTTTATGAACCTCAAAACAACAACATGGAGAGCATATAACATCATATTTAAACCTTCCTTCATAACAGACATAGTGTTGACAACCGACGCAGTGATGCCATTAAAATACAATATTATATAAATCATTGTTAATTAACATAATCACATCATAATAGTCTCTGTCAGCTGATTGGGATGAGATGCGACACTTTTTTGGATCTAATCCTTGGCGGGAGGTCTGTTTCTCTTCTCGTCGAGCTATGCGGTTGCGATAACAGATGTGTAGCGTCAAGCTATGGAGTATTTTATCCCCTTCTCTGACGCTCCCACCGGTAGCAAAGGTCGCCCATGGTTTAACGCTGAACACGCCCAAGCTGAAAAGCCAAAGCATTTAGCGTACTTATCCTGGGTACAGAATTTTCAACCAGGCCGCCAAATTCTACAAAAAAGCATTACGTAAATCTAGTCTCGATCGCATAAAACATATTGGTGCAAAACTCTGTCAGACCATCCGGTACTAGAGCTTTTTGGTCTCGCACCAAAGCTGTCGAGACATACTTCTGTCGGCCTACAATGCCTCCGCTAGTAAAACCAGATGTTACCAGTGTGCCATCCGGTTTTACCAGCATACGGCTAAAGAGAAAGTGGACTTGTTCGCGTCTCTATTGTGTAATTGTATTAAAAACTAGCTGACCCGGCGAACTTCGTACAGACTAACAGTCGATTCTTTATTTTTTTAATACTTATTCTGCTATTCGGGACACTCGGTTAGCTAGTAAGATAAAAAAATAAAAAAAAAGTTGATAAGTCAACAATTACATTATGTCAAAAAATAAAAAATTATAAAACACTATTGATAAATATTGACATTAATATTTCTACGATACTAACGTCACTCAATTGTGTTCCCTTCCCGGAACTCCTCCACTAACACTTAAACTTTATGGTATGGTATTAAAGTTAAAAATTGACTTTTAAGTATTATTACAAATCTTTTGTAAGGCAATATAGGAAAGTGTTGTTTTTAGACTTTTTCAGGCAAATTTTTAAATTTTTCTCTCCGTAAGAACCATCTTCGTACTTCAAGGAATATTTAAAAAAAAAGAATTAGCGTAATCGGTTCAGCTGCTCTCGAGATTTGCGCTTAGGAACACATTCAGCGATTCATTTTTATATTATAGATTAAATTCCATATAAAGACATAAAGACATTTATTCCAACACTTCAGATTAAAATCACATATTAATAAACAAAATTAATACGAATAACTAAGTGTTTAGTTAATATAATACAGCGGAAGAGTTTTTTTGTTTGTTCAAACGCGCTAATCTCTGGAACTACCAGTCCGAATTGATAAACTCTTTTTGTATATAATGGCCAGATTCATGAAAAATAAATAAGACTATCTTGCATAAGCCTATAACTCTCAGCTAGCCTTCAATAATGATTTTTGTGAAGCAAGTTGGAAGAAAAGGTGCTCTCTAATTGCTTTATCCGCGTGCGCTGGCGTAACGTTTAGTATTACATAAATACAATGTTCTTCAAAAATATTAGTCTTTGCTCCACCTAAAAAAAAGTCCGTGCTACCATATGTCTATTTCTTATATATAAGCCACAATAAAGTATTTTGTGACAAAAATATTGAAAATTAAAAAGTGATTTATGAGCGTTATTATTAGGCATGGCATATTAATCCTTACGAATGAAAGTTACTTCATCATTAAGACAATTTTATGAACATAAACTTTGCTCTTTATAGCATGTTATTTAGACGCATAGTTTAAGAGATAATGAAAAATTAATATAATAAACACTCAATTCGGAGCGCGAACGATCGCATAAACCCTAGCCGCCCGATGAGATCCGTAAGAAACTAGCAGTGAAGGCCTATATAAGCGAGCTGTCACTTCGCGCGGCTAAGATGCATGAACGTGCCTGATATAACAACAATTCATGACTTAATAATCGAAACAGATGAAGTGGCGGAAGGGGCCGCCTCAGCATAAGCAGCGGGATAGCGACGCTGATTTTCAGTCAGCCCCATATGAAGACTAGTCGTAGGGATAACTTATAAATAAAATAAACGTTGGCAATGTCGTATGGGTTTTATGGTCTGTGGAAGAGCTCAGTGCTTCAAGGACGAATGCCTCGTGCGCTTATTAATTTTAGTTTTTGAGACAGTTCCGTGTTGACTATCACGTGCTCGTGAGCGACAGTTTAATCGTTTTGCTTTGAACATTCTTGTTGTTACGTTTTGTTTTTCTTGTTTTGTTTTAATAATGCCTAATGTGTAGGTACGTTTATAGTGTTCGTGAGTACGGCAACATGTTAATATGCCTTGGAAAATCTCATAAGATTTAGATCGGTAAGTTGTTTCATACCTATTTTTTTTAAATAACTTAGTACTGAACTCATCTGAATAGGTACATAATTGAATGCATCAGAATAACAAACATAAACCTACACGATAGATAAAAAGCATGACTAACATTGTTAACATTTCATTTAAGTAATTTTTTTATTAACGGGGAATTGAATCAGGTATTTGGTTTATTACACCTGTGAATAAAGTGGCTAGGTGGAGACAACCACAGTGGCAGTGGCAAAAAAGTAGGTTAAGTAGATTTTTTTTTAGTTAAGTAGGTTAAGTTGATTTATACAAGTGTTGTAAATTATTAGGTATTGTGGTAATTCAATTGGGCAAAAGGCTCCTTAGTATTGTCAACTGTCTTCGTTTTTGGGAGCGTTTCTCAAACACCCGGTATATTTTTTTTATTATTTATTTATTTCGACTAACAAGGATCATAGGGTAATATAACATTAATTCAAGTTAATTCTATTACTAAAATTATAACTCATTACTAAAATTAATATATCAAATGCATAAGTATTCATAATAATATTGAAAATATAATAATTATTTAATTATAACAAAATAATATAACTAATGTAAACGTAACGCACAATAGACCCAACTTAATAATATATTTACAAAATAATAAACATAACTTATATTAATGATATAATAATAATAATTAATCACTTATGCAAGGATAATTATACATTGTAACTTCAGGTTCAGAAAGGCTAGAACCCAGAACCGTACAGCCATTTGACAGATATTGACATTGACAGAAAATCAAGTTTTTCTTTGTTTTTGTTATTGAAGTATTGAGCGAATGCGAATAAAGAGAGTCAGATTTGCATTCCTCTTTATAGAACTACTGAGTTAATTTATATTAACTCTTGTTTACGGTGACACTATATGCTTAGTGAGGACGAGATGTGGGAGGAAGACACTACTGGAAGTAGCACTGGTACAGCTGGCGTTGGAAAGAATTTTGATTTAAAACAACACGATGCCGTGTTTAATGAGCTAATGCAAGAATGTAAGCATAGTGCCCCAGGGGCACGTCTTTCTGCACGTCTCCGAACGGCGCTTGAAAGGTAAGAGGCCGGGACATCCCCCATATCACAGCATAAGTATAAAGTCAGAACCAGGTGCGTCTATACTGGTTTTTAAATTGGTGATGTTTAATTTATTTGTAATCTATTTGATTCGTAATATAAAAACTGCTAACATAATATATTTTTATAGTAAGTGCACCAAATGCATTGACAGATGTTTAAATGTGCTGTTAATTTGCCGCTGATATAATAATATTTATATTGTTCTATTTCCAATCTAGTTAATATGTAGTCTGGCAATAGCAATAGGAAAATCCCAAATTGTTGAGCAATCTAATATAAAAAGCTTAGTCAGCTAAGCTTTTTATATTAGATTGCTCGTAAACATGATAATTGCAAGTAGTCATAATTTTACAATAACATGTTGATTACGAATTGCTCCATTCAGCTTTTGATATTGGATTACTCAAAACATATTATGAAGCTTAACATTACAGAAGATGCTGACTCTACTGTATAATTATTATTGCTGATCAAACCAAGGCATCATATTTTCAGTCAATAGACTTGTTGACCTTGATCATCCTATAAAACCCTTGCATCTAGAATAAGATTAATTATAGAAGTCATTGTAGTTATGTAATCACTTAGTTAAGGAAGTCAGTATTACACTGAATTAGTTGTAATACATTATTGTAGTATTATTGTACCTAGTTGCAGGGTTGCCAATGCCATTGTATGTAATCCCCTAAAAATCCAAATAATATTCTCCAAATTTGGGGACAAAAATCTGCTGATTCCCCACAAATTCCCCTCAATATTATTTTAAACAATGAAAGAAGTTTCAAATATTTAAATAATATTTATTTTTAACCTTTGTTGCACTAATTCCGCCCAATATTTTTTTATTCCCTGTCTTGTTGCAATTAAAGATACTACAGTAACTGTATTTAGCCGACTTCAGTTTTCTGTTTTTAAATATTGACACAAACTAAATTTTCTTTCGACTGATGTGTTTGAAAATGATAGTATGAGCAACAAAGACAGAACAATTTTTGTTTCAAAACATGTATTCTTCCACAGCATTTTAAAAGCGAATCACTTTACCCCCAGTAACTTTCATCCATCAATGTTATGTCCATGAACTTCAAGCCCACGTTGATCAAAATCAAAACAAAGCGTGAGTTTGCCACTCATCATCTAATTTTTGTGCGGTCACACTGGAAATCGCTTCAGCACAGGCACCAGTGATTTTATTAGAAACTGTTGAGCATCTGATGGATTTACAGTGGATATAATAGAAAATAAAGGATCCCCGAAATCAAATCGCTTGGTAATGTCTGACCTCAATTTAATATAAAACTCATGGCAGGTTCTATAGAAATCTGAAATAGCAGCACAAGTCACATTTTCATAATTTTTTTAAATTTTCCATAATTTCTCTAGCCTTTAATCCAATATATATTTTGTTTAAACGTAGAAAATTTATTGGATTAGAAGCAAAGTTTTCAAAAGGTTTTCGACTTCTGGTTTCAATTTGTGAAGAAGGGATGTTTCTGATTGAATTAAAACATTGGATTTTGTTACCAGTGCAAGTACGTAAGACATGAATTCCAAATATACCACAGTGAATTGGTTGTTCATTGTAATCAGCATTTCCTCAGTAGTCTTCGACAGATCTGAGAAGACTGTTTCTGTCAAGTACGCTTTTAATCGAATATACTACTCTAAGACATGGTCTACAAACGCTTTCAGTGAAAGCCATCTAGTGTATGAGCTGGTGTGAGAATTTTGTAAATCTCCACTTGAAAGAATTCTTGAAACTCCCTAAATTTTAGTTGTATTTGTGAACTTTTACCGAAGTGAGCTCCAACAGAACGCAAAAAATCTTCAACATTTCGAGGTAATTTGAGAAAAGCTTTAGATGATGATAGGTGTATCATGTGACAAGAACATTTCACCAGAGCAATGTGAGGAAATCGTTTTTAAGAAGAGCAAAAACAGAGCAATGTTCCCAACCATCACATTTGTGGTATCTGAACTAAATCTTACCATGTTTTCTATGGATATGTTTTTATTTCGGAGCATTTGATGTAAACAGTCATACAATCCCGTAGCAGTTCCTGATGAACATTTCACCATATCCAGAAACAAACGCTCTACCTTATTGGTGTTCTCATCATAGACAACAGCAGTAAAACAGCATTGTTTTAAAGAACTCTGATCCCAAGATTCATTCATTATTAATGAAAAGAAGATTTTTTCTCAGTGTATTTTTTCATATATATCCTCTAAAAATGTGTTTTTTTAAAACATTATTTATTATAGCCGTCGCCTTGGTTTTGTGTAAATTCATATTTTTAGCTATAGCTGAGTCTGCGAAAATCTCTTTGCAGAATGGCCCAAGATGTTGCTAAATGATATTGGTATGTTATTTTCAGCTAATGCTCCGGCTAATTTTAGTTCAGCTTTTCGTACATTTATCTCTAAATCCGCCACTGGCAAATAAGTTGAAATTTTTAGAACATTCTGTATTTCTAATGATTTTTTCTTATGGCGATCCGAATTTATATGTCGAATCAGATCACTTTTATGCGCTATGATCGACACCGAACAAAGCATACAGTGTGAATCTTTGGATAGCCAGCTCAAGAAGCTTGGTTTTTTAAGCTATAAATCGTTAAATTTATTCAGGCATTTTATTTTTTTGGTTTGTGGATTACTTGACACACTTGTTGCCAAGCCCACTGAAGTCAAACTGGAGCTGAGAAAAGCATATTCTGCTTCTATACTAGAAGTTGAAGACTCCAATGTCTCCTTTTCGGGTTTCCTTTTACGTTCAAGCTAAAAAACAAAAATTAGGATAGTTAAATTAATTATAATCACTGAGTTTCTGACAGACTGTAACCTGCTAAATGAGTTTCATGGTTGGGCACAAATAAACAAATAGGCTATTTGTTTACTTTTGCACGTGGTAGAGTCATGCTGCAGCTATATTAATAGTATAGTTGTAGCACGAATGGGTCGGCTCGACTGGGGAAGGACCACGCTCTCACAGAATACTAGCGTAAAATAGCACCTTAATGTTGCCGTGTTTCGTATGGGAGAGAATCGGAGACCCTTTTTACTGAAAAAGAGGCATTCTTCTTAGTCCTCATGGCTAACAACGCATCTGCACTTTAATTCGCAAACAAAGATAGATATAGATGTTTTTCTTACATATATTGTATATAAGCTGATAATAAAACCCTAATGTTGTGAGTTAAGTTCTTCAAACAAGTAAAAACATGCAAATCCGTTGTATTTTAGAAAAAAGTAGTCTCTTTCTATATACTGGGAATCCGGGGTTAGTAGATACGACATAGGTACGACATGCTAGGGTTGTCAAATTTGCTTTTGTTGTAGTATGTAGGTTGTGAGCTTGTGAATCAAATGAAAGAAAACATAACTACATCAAAATTGTCATTATAAAAAATTATTACTTAATAAATCTGATATTAATACATTTCCATATTATATAACTTAAAAATATCAGAGTAATGTAATTTAACTTCTTTGCAGCGTAAGCATTTCCGACATAAAGCCATTAGATAAATAAGCCACTGTTTACATAGTTTTGAATATACATTTTTAAGTAATGAAAATAAAAATAAAAAAAATTTTCAAAGTTTGTTAAACTATATAACACTAATTATAATACTACGTGTTTTGATTATTTTAAGTTGTAGGCAACAAGACTACATTAAAATCACTATTACTTATTTATAAAATTATGTAAGCACTAAACATAAATGTAAATTGTTATAATATCGGGACTTGAATCTAATAACTCGCATCACACCTATTCCGCACCGTATACTCGGTATACGATGTGGAATAGGTGTCTCTCTCAGTGCGTCTCTGTTAAACAATAAAATACAAATATAATGAATGATATATTTACCTACTAAATAGAACTAAATCATATAAGCACACTAAGTATATTTACTGCAGGAACTTCTATCTGGTGTAATGATAAAACCACAAATATTTGGAATGTTAATGTATAACAAATATCTAAATTTAACATTTATACATACACATACATACATATAATCACGCCGCTTTCCCGTAGGGGTAGGCAGAGACCACTTCTTTCCACTTGCTACGATCCTTACATACTTGTTTCGCTTCGTCCACTTTCATTATTCCCTTCATACATGCTCTATGGTTTAGGGTACTCTTGACCTGGCCTTTTTTCAAGACGTCCCTGATTTGGTCTAGAAATGTCCGCCTAGGTCTACCCCTTCCAACACTTTCATTCACACTCGCCTTATACACTTTTTTCGTCAATCGTTCTTCATTCATTCTCTCGACATGGCCAAACCATCTCAGCATACCTTTCTCAATTTTTGTCACTACATCTTCTTTCAGACCACGTTTCCTTATCTCACTATTTCTTATCCTGTCACTCAGTTTAACTCCTATCGTACTTCTTAACGCTCTCACCTCAACTGCATTTATTCTGCTTTCATGTTTCTTTTGCCATATACAACTTTCACTTCCGTACATGAGTGTCGGAACCAACACCCCCTCATGCACAGCCAAACGAGCCTTGTTAGACACCTTCCGACTGCTCATAAAGGAGTGCAAAGCTCTATTCACCATGTTTCCTACATTCACTCTTCTTTTGATATCACTCTCACACTTTCCATCTCTTGTAAACTTTGAACCCACATACACAAACTCTTTCACCTGTTCAATTTGTTCATCTTCAATCACGATATTGCAGTCTGTCACTGCCTCATCTTTTTCAAACACCATCACTTTCGTCTTCCTTACATTCATTTTCATTCCCTTTCTAACAAAAGCTTCACTCATAGCAGTTACCATCTCCTGCAACTCCTCGGCCGAAGACGCATGTAATACTTGGTCATCAGCATAGAGAAAACATTTGACGAGTAACTCATTCATTCTCAACCCACTTTCATTCTCTTTTAAATCTGTATAAACAATTGTCCATGAACAGTTTAAACAGCCACGGTGACGCTACACATCCC